GGGTGGGGGGGGGGCATTGGACGGGGTACGAAACCGGAGCGATGTCAAGTACAACACAAAAACAGAGGTGTGCAATCGGAAAATCTCGAAGGACTGCTGCTGCTGCCCAAGGAACGCGCTCGACTTGCTGACATAGTTGGGGCCTGCAGCAGGGGCGTGGTACGAGGAAAACGTTGACTCGAGCCCTAGGGGGCGATGAGGTATGTACCGGAATGGCGAGCGGGCCTGACACAAAAAACGCCGAAGATGCCAAAAAGGTTGCAATTGACTTTCTCGGGATTACCCTCACGACCCGAAAGCAAACCAACCTCCAAAGCAGATGCTTTGGCGCACGCAAGTAGACCCGGGTCCCGTGCTGCCGGTCGGAAGTCCTTCGATACCGACCTTGACTCTCCCCATACACACACGAATTTCACGGTTGTCGCTGGAGACGTCCACTGCTCATGGCTGATACAACACTCCTACCGCCTGAGGTTGCACAATATACCCCCCTCAAGAACGATTTTCAAAGGTCGCATTCTCCAGCAAAAACACAAGTGGGTCGCGTAATGGCGGTATTAGAACCGTCTCGCCGGGAGCTTTCCGAAAACGATCAATCAATTTGCATGATGTGGCAGCAGCGGCATCGTCGTGGAGCAATGTAGCTTGATAACTCGGTCCAGGGAATGTGATATCTTACGTCATAGTATCAACTACGGTACGGTACGGTACGGTACGGTACACAAACCAAGGGGTTTCGCGGAAGCAAGCATCGCACACACATCAGCCAACCAGAGCACGCGAATGAAGCACAGCACTCGCAAGGGCGACGGCTGCCGCCGCCACCCCACCCCGTGTCGATACGAGAGCGAACGGACGGATGTTCTTCTCACCTCCGTCTTAAACTTGGCGTCGAAGGCGTGAGGGCTGCGGCAGAGAAGCTCCCTAACGGCGGCTCGCCGCTCCACGCCGTGCTCCGCGGAGTTGTAGCAGTTCTCGCACCTGCACGCGTCGGAGCAGACCAGCTGGCCCGCGAAGCACTGGCAGTACCTACGCATGGTGGGCGCACCGAACCGAACCGGCAAAAGGTTCAAGTGCTGTGCATGCAGTTGTGAAAAAATTGGTTCATGTTTCTTCCGTTCTTCGGAGAGCAACCGCTGTGTGGGAAGAATTTCGCGCTTCTGGGGGCACATATGCAAGCCTCCCTGTGTTTAGCCGGTACCCCGCCGGTCTACGGAGCACCGGTATCACCAAATACTACTATTATAAGCCAGGTACGCTACAGGCAGCGAGCGAGTGACGGGCGGCTTAGCTATATCTACAAATACTATACCACAAAAAACAAACAGACGCCGCATGTTCGTACTACGCAAGTATGCGTATCAAAATAGCAGTCCAGCAGTGGGAGCGGGAAACACCCGTCGAAACAAGACGGCACGGCAGACAACCGGCACCATCCAGAAGGGAAGCAAACGCGACAAAAAAAGACATGCGCATTCGTACGATCAACTCTGTTGTATTGTTTTTGGGAAGACCCGCAGAGACGGAGGCCAACCAGAAGGAAGGGCAAGGAGGTCTCACTACGACAAACGCATCTGTCCATGGTCTTGTGAAAATCTCTTCGAAAGACAAATCCACCGGCCCGATCGACGTGCCAACCGAGTAGTTTAGGCATCTCCCGTCTCACGAAATCATCATCTCTCGCGCACGCTGATTGTTCGTCCCCTAAACTGAACTATAAACTATACTACAAATACAACAGTCCCGTCCCGGGCCTATGGACTTGTGGCTTCCTGCTGAAACAAAAATGTTGGCCCTCACAAGTCGTCTTGCATTGCCCTTTAATGGTGCGTGATTTCCGTGTGGAATCTTCCTAGGAGAAAGCCCAAAACACTACACACTGCAAAGCCGCCTCGCGGAGATCCTGCTGTCGATGAACACGACAGCAGCAGCAGCAGCAGCTTATGAACAGGACCAGCTTAAGCTATGCTACGTTAGCAGTAGCAACGGCAGGCCTTTGTTTCCACGCATGTGGACATATGTTTGCGAACAATCCCGCTCTTGGCCGACGAGTTCGAGAGGCACTTCTAGACAAATCGAAACGCCGCAAAGGAAAAACTCACAGCTTGAGGCACATGGACTTCTTGCAGCTGCACCCTTCCAAAGCGCTGCTGGTCGCCGCCTTGAAAACGACGCAAAAAAACAACAACAGCCAAGGGCAGGGGGGGGGGGGGGGTCGTGTGTGCAGGCACGTCAGAGATGTTGTTTGCTTCCCTTCTTTTGACGCATGTGTAGTGGTGCTCCCAGCGACGCGGAACGACAGGCAACCAAGCACCACTTTGTATGCCACTTTGCGTTATCTCGCTATAATAGAGGGGGGCGATGCGGCAAGGTCAGCAAGAGGTACGACGTGCTCGCAATAAACACGAGAAAAAATAACATTGTGCTCGCAGACGCCCACGCCTCCCCATGACACCGGGGAGAAGGACGACGACACGTGTTTACCAAGGCCGGAAAGGTAATAAAATGGTCGGAAGGGACAGGAGAGAGCAGCATCCAAAACCAAATAATGCCTGGGATCGTTCGCGTAGGCCTGTCCAAACGAAACGAGGCCCCTCCCACGCCCGTGTCTCGCAGCAGAAGGCTCCACGCGCGACGAAGGAGAATAGTTCCAGCCTCAACGCACGCACATCTGGATACACCGAGGAACGATTGCCCTCAACCTTCGACCCGTGGCGTCAGCCCCCGCGGCGGGCATTCGCTATTGTAGTAAGCCCTCCCCTCCTGCCGAGGCCCTCGCCAGACAAGAAATGCCTGATGCAGAAAATTCACCTGCCGTGCACATGCATGTACCTTCACGGAACACTCGTTTCTACCAAACATCCGTCCTACCGTACCGTCGACCCTAGTGCCAACACAAAGGGTCTAGCCGACGCTCGGGTTAACACAATATTCTCACCGTCGTTGCTACGCCGCCGCCCCCGCCGTACGCGGCAACCCCGGCGGCCGCACCATCGGGCGCAGCGGCAGCCCCCGCCCCCGCCCCCGCCCGCCCCGCC